CCGCTAACGGAATGGCCACTTTATGCCAGTTCATGCTACCGACCGTGGATATCCTCCTAAGACTTCACGCCCTCGGAGCACCTCTCTCTCTCTCTCTCTCTCTCTCTCTCTGTCTCTCTCTCTCTCTCTCTCTCTCTCTCTCTCACACACACACACACACACACACACACACACTGGTCTAATTCTTTTTTTCCCAGTATATGTTTTCCGGAGTGTGTTGCTCTCTCTCTCTCTCTTCTCTCTCTCTCTCTCTCTCTCTCTCTCTCTCTCTCTCTCTCTCTCTCTCTCTCTCTCGCTCGCTCGCTCGCTCTCGCTCGCGCGCGCGCCACACACACACTAGTTGTTGGTCAAATTTTTTTTCCAGTACATGATTGACCGAGATAAAACGTGAGATGGTAGACGCCCATGGCAACTCAATCTGATAAACGAATTTGAAGTTTCTCCCTTGGTTGCACCCGGGCGAAGCAAACATCTGACAAACACGACATTACCCCCCTCCTTTAATCCTCCTCCAGACAACATGAAAATAAAATAAAAATGTAATGGAAACGATGTCTTACCCCCCTCCTCCAATCCTCCTCCTACAGACACAACGAAAATAAAAATGTGATGAAAACGACGGCGGGGAGAAGATACCACTTCTCCGCGCCGGATTGAACTCTCCATTTATTTTTTTCCTTTTCCCTTTCCGATTTCTCCATTTTTGAGCGTTGATCTTGAAGAAGATCAACGGCAAAAAACGAAGAATGAGCCAGGGGGATCCCGGCAGTCGGGACGTGGCCGCAGCCAGTCAGAACAACTCAAGACCTCATATGCAGTTTTTTCGAGCGAGCTCCTTGTCTTCATTTCATTCTTTTTCTTCTTTTTTTTTTCGCGCGTGTTTGTCGCGGTCTTGTAATTCAACGCCGTTGAAATGAACTGAATTTTAATGCATAAAAAAAATAATAAAAAAAAAAATCATAATAATAATAATTTAACGCCGCCGCGCTCCGCTTACGCAACTTCCGTCTTCCCCCTCCTCTTCATCTCCTTCTTTTCCCCACACTCCCCCCACGTCCTCCTCCTCCTCCTCCTCCTCCTCCTCCTCCTCCTCCTCCTCGTCCTCGTCCTTCTCATCATCCTCATCATCCTCATCATCATCCTCATCATCATCATCATAATATCATCATCGTCGTCGTCGTCCTCCTCCTCCTCCTTTGGCCCGCCAGATCTCTTCTTCCTTCTCGTACGTGGGCGCACACTCTGACGTGGTCTTTCAACTAAGGGCCTCGCTCCACTGCACAAGATGCTACATGTATCTGGAGCTGGCGATGGTCCCGATGCATTCAACATCTCGGATCAGTCTGAATGTATCTGGTCCACGGCGCATGTCCAGATACATGTAGAATGTTGTGCAGTGGAGCGGGGCCCTAATAGTAATTCACCCGGGACACACAACGACACTCTACTCATACAGCCCGTCCTAAAGGGTGAGGGAAAAAAAAAAAAAAACGCCGCCTGTCTTTTCCTCCTTTTCGCTCTTTCTTCTCCCACTCTAGGCCTCCTCCTCCTCCTCCTCCTCCTCCTCATCCTCCCTACTCCATAACTCCTGCTATGACCCATCACCTCCTTTTCCCATAGTCTCCTCTCCCCCTAATCGCCCCAACTAACCATTCCTCTCCTTCCCTGCCGTCTACCATCGGCAACTCCCTGTAAGTCCTCCCATATTCTCCTCTCCCACGTCTCCCATATTCTCCTCCCCCCCTTCTCCCATATTCTCCTCTCCCCCTTCTCTCATATTCTCCTCTCCCCCTTCTCCCATATTCTCCCACCCCCCTCCCGCGCAACGTAATCCACTCTCCTCGCTGCCGAGGCCTCCTCTCCCACCCCATCTAGCATTCTCGGGAAGAGAATGAAGGGGAAAAAAAGAAGGAAAAAAAAAAGTGGAAAACCGACACCACGGACACGTGGCGAATCGAGGAGAGTGACAAGGAGGGAGAAGAGACGCGGTCAGAAAGAGAGTGGGAGAGGAAGCAATAAAAAAAAAAAAAAAAAAAAAACCTGATCGAGAGAAGGGAGTGGAGGGGTAAGAAGTGGACGAGAGTCCTTCGGGGATAACCTCCGCCCAGATTCGAACGATTAAGAGAGAAGCTTAATTGCTTAGTAATTAATTATTAATCAATTATTTAATCAATTAATTAATTAACTCATCAATCCCTTAATTCGTAATGCCCCCCTGTGCAATCGCCCGGATGACATGCACGAATGAAGAAAGGAAGTGGAGAAGAAACTAAAAGCGCATACTCACACTCGCACTTTTTTTTTCCCTTATGAATGTGGATGGAATTGCGGCCAGGTGCATATAAATCCCGCCGTAAATGCGGCCAGGTGCATATAAATCCCGCCGTAAATGCGGCCAGGTGCATTGAAGACAGTGGGAGTACGCCCTCAGTTTGAACAAATACGTGTAGCCATTCTTCCCTTTGGGTGGCAGGCGAAGGTCCAACCACTCGCCAGGGAGAGACTGGGTAATGGGCCTGGCTCCACTACTCTCCACACGCACAAAAAACAAAAAATATGGCAATGTATCTTTCCATGTTCTACCGTAAGATTCATTCCCATTTTGCACATTTGGTGAGCCGTGGAGCGGGGCCCAATATCAGCCCGCCTGTATCCACGACCATATGGTCATCTACCGAGTAGAGAGGACTGATGGCCCGCTGGCTGCTGTACACAGTCGCAGGTCGGGATCCCTGGTGCGGCCATAGCTACATGGCTTAGAGAGCGGGTTCCGCAGCCAGCCTTCTTGTTTAGCTCGTCAGGATATATAGGCGGCGTTCGAAAGTGAATGAACGCATCGGGACGGGAAAACGGGCATGTGCATTCATTCAAATAGTGGTTTCGGCATGGCCTCAGCCAAAGAAAACACGTGAAGAAGAAAGAAGAAAAAAGGAAAAGAAGAAGAAGAAAGATAAGCAATGGCCGATTGCTCTTTACACGCGAACCAACAAATTTCCCGTTAATGCAATTGCATTAACGTGTACATCATGCTGGAAGTAACCGCGCACTCGTTCCCCTATAATTTGTTGCAAAAAAGAAAAAGAAAAAAAAAGGAAAAAAACAAGAAAAAAAAAGGAAAAAAAAAAAAAAGAGAAGGTAATAATGGAATACCTTTACTGCAAACACTCGTGGATCGAGCGCCCAATAATAAATTCCATACCTTTGGGGCAAGGTCCCACTTGTAGCAAAGAGAGGATTTGATTAAATGCCGGAATCTGGACGTGTTTGCGGACAGAGGAGGAGTATAATTGCTATTGCTATTGATTTTCTTTCCTGCATCTCTCCACAAACACGTCCAGATTCAGGCGTTTAATCCAATCCTCTCTTTGCTACCAGTGGGACCTCGCCCCAGGTAGGCAACACCTGTCTACACGAAGTTGTCTGCAGACAGACAAGAACAAGAACTGCCCGGTGCAGATAAGCTACACGCTTATTATTTTTGAGGTTTTTTTCCTGTTTTTTTTCCTCTTTTTTTTGGGACCGGGACAAAGGTTTCTCCTTTTCCCCCAGTTGGTGACGCGGAGGGGAAGAGGGGGCGGAGGAAATAGCGCACATGACATGTCTTTTGAAAGAAAGAAAGAAAGAAAGAAAGAAAGAAAAAAAAAGAAAGTGCACACGACATGTCTCTCTAACAACAGACAACTGGAGAGAAAAAAAAAAAGCCCCAAAAAAAAAAAAAAAAAAAAAAANCCCAAAAAAAAAAAAAAAAAAAAAAACACCAGCAACCGTCTGTATATTACTCAAGGCGCGCCGACTGTGCCTAAGTCCAACTACCTTCTTCACCCAATATAACGTACGGTCATTAAAGTAGCTGTATTTGGGGTAACTTTCGGTCTAAATACAGCCAAGAAAAGCAAGAATGACCGTACCTTGTAGTCGGATGACGAAGGTAGCGGGGAGGTTTAGACTTAGACTTAGTTTCACGTACGGACCGGTCTCTGCCGTTCGATCTGAACACATCGGACGGCTGCACTGTGGCCACGTCGGCAAATGTTCGAAAGGAAGAATACCGTCTTCCCCCGAACACAACGCACCCTGATAATGAATGTACACAAGCTATCTTTCCGCCCCGGTACAGCCATAATGAGGGTGCGTTGTGTTCGGGGGGGAAACTGCACCACACCACCGCTACTACTAAGCCCCGGTTCATTCGTGTTGCGCCACAACCCTCCTGGGACCATGTGGCGTTTGAGTAATATCCCGATGCTGCGTTTCTAGCCCCTGACTCCGTGGAATATACGGTGCAGATCAGACAATTCAGGAAACTGGGACTCCACACTATAAGTATATATTAAACGGTGCAGATCAGACAATTCAGGAAACTGGGACTCCACACTATAAGTATATATTAAAGTATCTTCGTGTACGTCAAATTAGGAAATGAGGAAATGAGCAAATGAGGGCGTGTGGAAACGAGGAAATGAGGAAATGAGGAAATGAGGAAACGAGGAAATAAGGAGGAAACGAGGAAAATGAGGAAATGAGGAAAATGAGGAAATGAGGAGCCACCCCACCCATAGAAATGGAAATGGCGCGCCGCCGCCGCCTTCTCCCTCTCGTCTGAATATAATGCACAATGGTCACCCCTCCCCTAATTAATGCAAGAAGCTGTTTCATGTCTGAAACTCAGAAACTTCAACAGGAAGAGGAGGAGGAGGAGGAGGAGAGGAGAGGTCACAAAAAAATCTGATAATGGATCACGGACAGATTTGATCAAAAAGATTGAGACGAGAAACAAATTTTAAAGAATAATTGAGGCAAAAGACACAGATTTGTCCGAGACACCAGTGGGAGAGAGAGATTGGGAGAGAGGGAGGGGGAGGAGGGGAGGAGAGGGAGGGGGAAAGGGAGGAGAGGGGCTTGGGAGAAGGGAGGAGGACAACTGGGAGGGAAGGACAGTGGAGAGAGAGGGAGAGAGAGGTGGGGTAGGGGGAAAGAAAAATGAGGGGAGGAGGGCTCACCATATAGGGATTAGGCACGAAAACGTTAAAGAGCAGCGTAGCTGGCAAGAATAATGCCAGCACCCACACGACCAGCTTTCCTTCTGACAACATCTCTAGAACCGGATCTCCACACTTCTCCTCTCCCTCTCCTCGATTCTCTCCCTCCCTTCCGCCCTCCCTCACTCCCTCCACCTTTCCTCCACCCTTCGTGCCTGCCCCTCTTGCTGCTCCCGCTGCTGCTCCTTCCTCGCTCCGGCCCATCAGGCCGGTGCGCTGTTTTTCGGCCTATCGGGTGCACTTCCCACAATTGCAACTTCGATTTGCGCCTCTCTCATCCTTGTGCAGGGGGACTTCATCCCATATCCGTGAATCATCTCAACTAATGAAACGAACGAATGTCCTGCAGTCACACACACAACCCCTACCACCATCATTCCCCTCGCCCCCTACCCCCCACCATCGCCGTAGCCCCCTACCACCATCGCCCTACCGTAGGCAAGCCGTGATGTCAGGTCGGGATCCCGGGGACAAGCAATCCTGCAACACTCAATGTTACGGCCTCGCAAAGAAACGCAGTAGCGTTGCTGGCTTTGCCCACCATGAGAACCAGGGCTCTCCCTCTCTCTCTCTCTCTCTCTCTCTCTCTCTCTCTCACACACACACACACACACACATTGGGGCTCGCCGCACCGCTCACCGACGTGAGAAAGACAGAAGTTATGTCGTGTATCTTCCTGGTGTTCTAGCGGAAGAAACAACGTTCTGCATTTGGAACGTTTGGTGCCTACCGGTAGTGCGGCGAGGTTCATTCACACCCAGCGTTGCTTGGTCTACTACCCCACCTCCGTACATCCTGTCCTTTTTTTCTTTGTTGTCTTTTTCTTTCCTCCTTTTATTGGGGATGAATGCGCCTTCGCACATAGCTCCCGCCACTCACGCTTTCGTGGATTGTCACGGAATTTTTTTATTTTTATTTTTTTCTGGACCATTTCTCGATTATGCGTGTCATCCTTGCGCGGGCCATGCTAATCTTCTCTGTATCGTTCCAAACTTTCGTGAGCCCGCCGGTTTCGTGAGGTTTGGGCCCTTCGCCACAAGCACCGAGGGGATATACTCATACATCTCTAGACGTGATTGCGGCCAGATCCATGCAGGAGATGCCGCAATCTCGGTCAGGCACATGCGCGCCACACCACTTGCGATTATACGGTTTTGCGGATTGTCACGAAGCTTTCATGAGCCCGCCGGTTTTGTGAGCTTTGGGCCCTGCGCCGCACAGGCACTACTTGCACACCCCTGGGCCTAATTGCGATCAGATGCATGCAGAAGAGGCCACTCGGAAAGTGCTATCCGTAGTGTGAGTATGGGCTGAGGACCGGTAGCCCAGTTGGTACAACCAAGTTCGAATCCCGGGCGATCAGGATCTGTCTAAATTAGCGCCCTGGCTCAGGGCATACACTGGGCCTCGCCACACCACTCTGGAATCTCGAAAATTCGTGAGTCGGGCACCGCCACACAGCATCACTCGGAAAAAAAACTTGAAACTGTTCGAGAGCTGTCAGGAAGGGGTTTTCGAGTGCCCTCTCGAAACGATGTTTTCGCCCAGCCTGCAGCGTTGGAGTTTTCGTGATACCACCCCTCCGCGCTCTAGTTCGACGTCCATTTCGAGAGTTGTCAGGCCGTTTTTCGTGATGCAGCCTGTCCGCGCTCGAGTTCGTCCATTTCGAGAGGCCGGTCTAGTGTGCTATGTGGCAAAGGGCCATTTTCTCTCGAAAACCAGCCTCTCGAAAAATCCTGACAGCTCTCGAATATTTTCGAGATTCAAGAGTGGTGTGGCGAGGCCCACTAGCACGTACAATCGCAAATTATATGTGAGCCAATTTGGGATTATACGGCACTTCCCAGTTACACAGCACACCCGCACTTCCCAGTTACACAGCACACCGGTGTACGACACAAAACAGAAAGGACACAGTCTCGACCTGCTCTCGGAATGCGAGCATACGGCCCGAGGCCCTCAGGCAAAATCTCTGGTGGGGCTAATTTACAGTTAGGCAGAATACGGCACCAAGCAGTATTTCCGAGATCGTCAACATTGGGAATATCTAGGTTTGCTCTGAGGTGGTGGGGCCTTGGCCCAGGGAGAGGAAGGAGGGTGGTAAAGACGGACATATCTGTGGGCCAGAGGGCCAGGTTGGAAGGGAAGGAAAGCTTACCGGGTTATGAAAGGCTCTTGGTCAAGGGCGCTTCGATGAGTAATTAACGATGTCCAAGAGAATCAAGGAAGACCTATGGCCCCTCCACCAATCCTTTTGTGATAATTCCTCGTATGACTGCTCGAGGAAGGGAGCTAAGGAATATTAAGTTATCGGTGCAAGGAGTATGCCAAAGGCTGGCTCTACCAGACTCCCAAGTAAGACGACGAAGACATTGCTTCAAAGGAAGATGTGATGAAACGGAGTGGTTCGGGGTAATTTTCAAATTTTGCAAGACCGGTTCCTCCCCTCGCCCTTGTAGAGTGGAGTGTTGTCTTGTTAGAAGTTTTGTTGATTCATGCAACAGAGAAGCTTAGGTACGGTTGTATGGTTTGTGATACTAGTAATATTTATTAGGAGTGCTATGATGGCCATATCCGAACCAAAATCACCGGCCCCGCCCCCCCCCGGCCCCGCTCACCCCGGAGGATAAAGATAGAATTAGAGGCATCTTGGAGGACTGCTATTCCAATGGAATTCCTCCAGAGGAATTTGCACCCCAGCTGATTGAGACGGGTCCTGACTTCGTGCGGGTGGCTGTGAATAAAGAAGTTTATCAGGTTCAGGCCGATTGACTCCGTCAGCACGCTGTATCGATCCATTTTGGAGACGATACGACGTTCGTCCCGGTGAAAGTTAAGAATCGACTGGTTATGATTTACGAGGACGGATGGGCTAAGTCTGGTGCCCTGAACGTGGCTCCCAAGAGAGGCATATTCCGGCATGAGGGCCGCAACCTGGATACTTATGTTGCAAGTGCAAAGGAAATAGCCACTTGGATGCTACGAAAAGAACAGCACGTGATTGAAATGGATAGGAAGAAATTCACTATTTCATTTCAGCCTTGGATGACATAAAACCAATTATACGAATGGAATGAGGCCATGAGTTATAAATTTTTTTGGGTTCGGGTGCTGCAAGTTCCTGTTTCGGTGCTGCCCCAACTCAAAGGGGCGATCAAGAAGGCATTTGGCACGGTCTTGCAGTCAACCCAAGCGTTTGCTGACCCGATTGCACCGGACCTCTGGACAATTCGTTTTGACTTGACACCGGTGGCCCGATTAAAGTATAAAAGGCACTTGGTAGTGGATATGGGGGATTATGGGTTTGTGGAGTTGGAAGTCGCAAACTCAGATTCACCTTGATGTAGTGTGTGCAAATAAATTTTTCACTCAGACACTGACGACACATGTCCACGAAAGGCTAGTTACAAGACAGTTGTAACAAAAGGGAAAGAAGGGATGGAAAAGAGGGAGAAAGGAAAAGGGAAAGAAGGACAGAAGGAGTTGAAGGAAGATGGGAAATCTGCCAAGGGCTCAGGTGAGAAAGCTGGAGCGGAGGCTTCAAAATCCATTGAGAAGTCCCAGGAAGAGACCATCTCCAATAGTAAAGGTAAAACTCATTAACGGAAATTACCGGTTACGAAGGGTGGCAAAAAATGGAGAAGAAAAAAAATGGGTAAAGGGAGGAAATAGTCATCGAAAGGAGAGGCGGACACAGAGGGGATTGAGCAGATGGATGGTGAGGGAGAGGGTAAGGCAGAGGGTGCGGAGGGTGGCATAGGGAGAAAGGAGGAGGAGGGGAAGTCGGTAAGGGATATTTCGATGGTTGAGGGAGAAGGAAAGGGGAGAGTGGAGACTGAGGATAAGACCGGTGTCGCGCGCGGCGGTCTCGCACCCCGCTGGGAGCGCTGAACCTCACGGTCGTGTCACGCAGGATGTTTTGTCTGAAAAGAACCAGTCACCACTCCGACTGTGCGCGCGTGCTATACCTCTCACGACACCCCACGACAGGTCGGGGAACCGCGAGGTACAACTTACCTCTACCCGAGGGGTTGTCACCACCTTCAGGTAGGCGTATCCCTGCTGAGCTACCGGCCCACATGCGAAGGCTTTTACATGTCTTTGTAGAGGTAGGTCGGTCGAGGACGTTTGCTCGATCGCTGTAGCACAAAACGGGGTACGCGACATAAGACGCCTAAAACTGACCCGTTAGATATTAATGTCGAACTTTTTAAAAGACTGTCTATTTCCGCCACTTTGTAATGTATTCTTCTCTTGACTAATATCAATCAAACCATCTTTTTACCAAAGGGCGTCCTATCTTTCTTAACAGACCATGACTAAACTGAATATCAGATAATATAGAAGTTATATAAGACAATAATGAGGATGGAGTTATTACGGCCAACAACCCTTCCCACTTTCACAAGTGTTGTGTGTGTCCGAGACTCTTTAACAGATCAGCTCCGGTTCAATCCAAAATCACTCACAAAACAGACCTGCACAGAATAATGCAAAGACAGTTCGCATGCCATGCACTAACGGCGTCAACCATCAACCATTGACTTTCTCCCTCACTTCCCAAATCATGTATGACAGCCCTATCTTTCCTGAGACGTAAGCCCAACCCCCTCACATTTCTTCAAAGGACCCTTGAGAGTGACAAGGATCATTTAGGCAATGGCCACAGGTGACAGTTTCACTGACCACAGGGTTTGACTTTAGAGGTGGGTATCAAATCAAAAGGGGAAAAGTTGAATCAGTAACAACCGACCTGTTATTGAGAGATAACGTAAAATTTTGGGACCTTTTTGTAAAACCTCTTCCCTGAAATGAAGTAGATAAACAGGGACCTGCACACACACAGGTCAACAAAGATTCAACACCCCCACTCGATTCCACATATTGATATCTAAGGGTCGAGCCCTTAGACATGGGTAGTGAGCTATGGGATCAACATCCCAGGTCTAATCCTTAGTTTTACTCTTACAACCCTACCCTAAGCCATCTGTCACTCTCTCCTTTCACTCAAGGAGTCTCATGCCTATGTCCTAAGTCGTCTTAAGGAAACTCATATTTCCCCTACTCTCAGTCCTTGCATTTTCTCGCTTGGAGATAAGTGCATCGTTTGACGTTTACGTAGATGAGATATAACTCATTCATTGTTGTGGCCTTCCATTCGAAAGTCGTGAACGGACATGGACCTCGCGGTAGTTTTTTTCTACTAGTATTTTTTTTCCCGCGGTCCTATCTTCTTTCCTTGTTCCCTTTCAAGATATGTGAAGACCTTGCTTCAACAGGAGCATTGTTCCTTCCTTTTTCTTCTATTGGTGTTAACATTCTCAAGCAGTAGGTCGATGCAGACATGAATCTCTTGCTACTGGATTAATACCAAACAATATGTTAATAAAAA